CTTTAGGATGGAGAAAGCCTTTAATTTACCTTAGCTTAATTAGGATTGATAAAAAATTTGTTTGATTACATTTTATTTTTAAACCTAAGGCAATATTCACCTATTAGGGAATTAATGGTACATCTCCCGCAAGTATGCTCAAGGGTGACTACTGGTGATTCATGAAATAGGTTGACATCTTTTTCAAAGACTGCATCATGATTTTTAAAATTGAGGCAATATTCAGTTATCGTGTACAATAGTTTATCTCCCGTGTTTATGCTAGGGGCGAATGTTATCGGCTTTAATAGACGAATACCCTTTTTAACTTTGCATTCGTAATGATTTTCAAATTAAATAAAGATCAAACTAAAAAAATTATTTTAAATATAAGGTAATCAACTATATACCAATTTTTGGGCGCTTATGGGAGTGCTAATCCTTCCCCGCGCTTAACTGACTCTCGAACCTAATTTATGGATTTTCGCAGACCTTAAAACTCAATATTTTGATAAAAATAAAATGTTTTACTAAAATCACCCGATTTTCATGGTGTCCCAATCGCACCTTAAATGATTGGTGGCGACTCCTCACATTTCAAGAAAATAAATTCAAAAGAGAAACCCCCAAGTCGGCATCGGTCTTTCCCCGCCTGGGAGAAAAATGGTGTTGACAGTTTTCTATCGAAATCTACACATTAACATGACCAAGATGAATATCAGAGCTCAATTAATTGTTAACCAATAAACATTTACATAAACTAAATAAAACACCTAATTCAAAATTTCATGTTGAACATTATCGGTACTCTACACCTAGTACCAATACTTCCCTTCTATGGTACCGATATCTACCTCAATATCGATACCCAAATTGCATTATGGAATTTCCTCTTTAATTACAGTATCGATATTGTTCTTCCAATACCGATACCCTTGTCCAAAATTCACTTATTTCATTTCAAATTTGACCTAAAATTCACCTAAATCTCATACTTCTAACTCTATTCATACCCTTAAACTCAATAACACTTATCACAACCAACTTACATCAATTAAATTATCTTTAACATCCTAAATTTTCACTATAACACTTAAAACTAAAAATCACACTCATTCTTCAAACATGTTCCCAATCCTTTATATAACCTCAAACACCTTATTCAAACCTTTGACAATTCAAATATATCTTTAAAATCCAAATACTAATCAATTTTCATCAACTCCCTTAAAAACCCATTTTACCAAATCACTATTAACTCATCAATCTCATAGCTTCTAATTATCTTTAAGCTTTCTTAAGCTTCTATACCACCCAAAAACTCAAAATGAATTCAGAAATGCAAGAAACAACCAACTTCAAGAATACTCGCCTTAGTAATGGAGTTCAAGGTGGAAATGAAGAAGAGAAGATGAAGAAAGCTTCTAGGCTTTTCTTTTCTTTTTCTTTCTTTTACCTCACATGTTATAATAACCTTAAAATGAATTTTAAATTCATTTTATGCAAAAAGACCATTTTGCCCTTCCATCCTTCAAACTTTGATAATAGATCCTAAATAAAAATTCCAAATCAATCCTTGAACATTTCAATTTATCAAAATCAAACTACTAAATTTTGAATTCTTACACTTTAGTCACTGCCCCGATGATTGGGGTATTACGCTTAACGTGTAAGAAAGTTACTTTCGATAGTTTTAAAATTAAAGTCGATCCCATTAAGTAACATGAATTAAATTGAACCATTTTAAAATTTGGGGATTGAGAAAAAGGTCATGTTCTTTTAATTAAGTTCACCGAGAAAGATTGTTATATCGAATCTACGGTATCGTCTCAATGTATTTAAATAATTGAACATACTTATTCTCAGTAAATGTTGGTAAAATAAATAATTAATTGTACTTGCTTGATGTATGCTTTTAATTTGTTCTATTTTTACATGTATTTTTCAATGGGATTTCAAAATAAATAACACTCAAATTAATATTGAAAACCTTTTCATTTCGGTTGGAGTAATAAATGACTGCTTAAAGGCATGAGAGGTCATTTATTCTCGATTGGAAATAGTTAGATATTATGGTTTTCTCTCGAATTAATATTGAATTTTAAGATGAAATAGTGATATCTCTTCATTTCGATTGGAGTAATAAATGACTTCTTTTAAGGCATGAGAGGTCATTTATTCTCGATTGGAAATAATTAGATATTACTGTTTTCTCTCGAATCAATATTGAATTTTAAGACGAAATAGTGATTTCTCTTCATTTCGATCGAAGTAATAAATGAATGCTTTAAAGCATGAGAGTTCATTCATTCTCGATTGGAAATAATTAGATATTATCGATTTCTTTCTTAAAATTATTTTGTGTTGTTATTTTAAATTAATAATGAACTTTAGGATGTAATTATAATATTTTCTTATTTCGATTGGAGTAAGAATCGACTGCTTTAAGGCATGAGATGTCGATTCTTCTCGATTGGAAATAACTAAATATTATTGTGTTTCATCCTAAAATTCACATAATATTATGATTATGGGATCTTAAATTAAATTAGACTCGAATTCTTAAGTTTCATTGCAAAGACAACTAATTAATCGACTAGTTACTGATTTAGGGCTCTATGGGGGTGCTAATCATTCCCCACACGTAACCGACTCTCGAACTCAACTTTTTGGCAATGCAGACCGTACATTTGTTTTTTTAATTAAAATTAATATTTTTTATTAAAATGAAAAAATACTTTTTGAGTGTCCAATCACACCCTAATCAAAAGTTAGTGACGACTCCTCGAATCATGTTTTTTTGTTAACCGATCATTAAATTATTCGAAACAATACTTTTAAAAATCGTTTCGACAGGGTGGATGATCTTGCTTCTTCAACTATACTTGATGTTATGCTTATGTTATGAAATGCATTTATTATAGTAGAGTTATTATTGTGCGGCACTGAGCGCGTTAGCTTTGCATTATGTTTTTGTTTACAAATTCTTACGTGTGAATTTGAGGAGCACTGTCACCGAGTGAGAGTCCCAGTTGCTTATCTTTTAGAGTACATTATTGACCTTACATTGTATTTTAATCTATAACTCTATTTTTGTCATACTATTTATTATTATTTGGTTTGTAATATTGGAGCTTCGTATTTTGTATAACCTAAATTATATTTATCTATTTTTGATACGATGATTTTAAGGAAATTATCACCGATAATCAATTATTTTAGATTAAATTGCCAGAAAAATAAATATTAGAGTTAAAATAGAATTAAAGGAAGCATGTAGGGATGAAAATGAATAGAATAAAAATATGCCATGTAAGACTTTATCAAAATAATGCGCGCATGAATTGTAATACTCAAAACTTAATATTTAGATGAATCAATTTTTCTTTTAGTATTAACCGATGGTCAAATATTTGGATTAATGGTTTTATTTCCATTAATTATTCTATTAAATAAATGGTATTTTAATTTTTTATTTCTTGAATCATAAAATTAAATTTTGATTTTCAAATAATATTATATATTTAATACTATTAAAATTTGCTAATTTGTAATTTATGTTTATTTAATAAATAAAAAATTTGGTAGAAGTTAAAACAAAATTTTCTGTTGCGGTTACTATTTTGTATATAGGAGTTGCAAGTAGTTTTCGTGTCCCAGGCAGTGGCGGTGGCTTTACCCGGTCACTTGTCATTTATGTTTTTTAGTAGGTTGCTTGATTTACTTATTTTACAATTGTATTTTAACATATTTATAACAATATTTGTCTTGGTCTTTTCCTTAACATATTTACAAGTTAGCTACTTTGGACCGCCCACCACCATCCACGTGAATCACAATTGAAATTTTTATTTTCAGTTCAAGATCTCTTTAATGAAAGATAATGTTTTAAGAAATGAACGTGCTACAGGCGGAAGGCTAATTTGGATAATTTAGTGGAGATGGACTCTTGTGCCGTATATCATTACAATTAGCTACTTTAATATAATTAATTAATAATAATAACATATCAAAGAACCATTCGATAACGAATGGTAATCAAACGAATGAGAGGCTTGTGGATATCCATATGGACACGGAAGTGCAAGAAACGACCCCCACCAATCTCCATCAATGAAGAGCCAACTTGGACAAAAAATCCAAAATTAGCTATATTAAATTTTGAAGGAGTCAATTATATTTTATACAAATATAAATATATATATGGTGTATTTACAATTATTAGAATAAAATCAAGGATTAATATAAAAATAGGTGTTCAGACTATATCAAAGTTAACTTCAAGTATCTAAAGAACTTTTCGTTAAAAATAGATGTCCAAAGTTTCAAACGTTACACTTTTAGGTCTCTAACGTTAAATTCTACTATTAAGTGATGTGTGTTAGGCTTATAAAACTTTATTTAAAAGCACTTAAAATTATTATTTTAAGAAACCCAATATTTTCTTAAATTATAAAAAAAATCCCAGAAACCTTAATTTCAACCCCTTATCATCATTGGTCACCATCAATGTCGTCAATCGATCGAAACCCTAATGGTGTGCAACTACTTGAATCCCCACCGGCCAAACCCCAAACTTTACACGATGATTGCAGTGGAAAATTGACGATTGTAACCATTAAATAATTTCGATGACATGTGACAATTCCATTGATTCAAGTGACGATTCCTCCCTTCGTGCATTGAACTCCGGTTAAATGAAGTGTCCAATGGAAAAGAGCGACGACTAGGGCAACATCATCGATGGTCGACGTGGGTAAAGGGGTTTGGATTTGGAGTTTTGGGGTTATTTTGAAATTTAATAAAAAAAATTGGGTTTTTACTTTAACTTTAATTTTTTATTTAAAAATAAAAAAATTAAAATTAAATTTATAAGCCTGACACGTGTTACTTAACGGTCGAATTTAACGGTCGTTACAATCTAATATATGGTGTTTATTACGGGAAGAATTAAACTGAATGAATGTGAGCCTTTCATCAATAATCTTTATAACCTAATATTAATACAATCAAATTTTAAGAAACGATGAAATATAGCCAATGTTTAGTAGAACAAATAAACTTCATCAATACGTACGTAAGAAAAGCATACAATTATTCATGACTGTAAAACAACAGTCGGGTTGCGATTTTTAATTAAATTTATGTGTTGTTGACAAGTTAATTTGAGGACGGAAGGCGAAGATATAGAGGGATATGATTGGGAGCATTTGGAGGAGAGTCCCAAACAGAGAAAGCACTGGTTGAATTGATCCATTTCTTTGGAATTTCTGGGTAATGACGATTCAACACATCTTTCAAGCTTTCAGTTGTATTCACCCATTCAAATCCCTTCTTTGTGTATGTTTTCTCATTGAAATCGCTTGTGAAGAACCTATCTGCTTCCAGCCTCCTGCAATATTTATATCATCCTATTCATCATATTCAACTTTTCCCAGAAAATATTGGGATATAAGTACAATTTACATACCTAGATGCCATCAGTAGGAAGATGATGAAAGCTGTCTCACTTATGGAAAAACCTTTGATCTTCTTCTCTGCCATGAGACCCACCATTAAGTCCAGTTGTTCAACATCATCACCATAAACTTCCTTGAGAACTTCAATGACTTCCTTGTCTTCAGTCAAATCTTCCCATTTAGAGATTGGTATCAATAGCAAAGCCCTACGGAATTGATTGTACCTTGCAACTTTCCTCTCCCTGTCCCTGTAAACTACATCATTGATATCAAATTTGGAATAAATATTCGCGTACTTGTTACTTTGTTTAATTAATTCATGGATCAGAGATTGCAGTTCAAGACAGGTTTTTTACTTTCAAGAGCTGCCAAATCCACATGGTCATGCCTCTCTTTGCCATCAACGTCGTGTGGTATGAGGCCTCGAAGCCATGCAGGATAGTTCCAAAGCTCCAATCCACCACAAGCTTGGTGGCCCATTGAAACAAATTGTCTGGTGAATCCAATTTGTGATAAAGTTTTTTCTCCTTTTTGACCAATTAGATCAGGCATAGTAACACTGCATTTGTAGCCAATGTTAAAGAAGAAATATTTAGTATGGAGCCATTGTTTTCTCGAAGACAACAATGTCTTGTAAAGCTTACTCCTTGAGCAATGGTGGAGATTTGTTTGGTCCTGGAGCGACATCGGTGTTCCTTAGGTGAAGGGAGTCTGGTAAAAGCTGGTGCATCCGATAGACGCTGGTAAATTCCTCAGTCAAAGAGTAAGGAACACCATGATTAACAGGCTTTCTTAGACCAACTAAGCCTCCCAATAAGGCATGCCCGACATGCCCAAATGTGTTCTTGAATTTCTTTCCCAATAACCCATACCTGTGACAAATTTAGCAGTGTTAAAGTTATATACAGAGGTCAAATCCCAACAATAGAGGTCGCAAAAATGAAAAGAGGATTTACCAGTTAGCTCGCATTCCAGCAAGCAACATATCAGTTTTGAGAAGCTCCACTGTCCAATCAATGGTATGAATCTTTGCAATCACAGCAGAAGTTACAAGCCTCGCATGTCTGTACAACTCTTCATCATTCAAATCTGGCAGTTCCTTCTAAATTTATATTTCAAAGAACAATGTTTAGTAAAATGATCAATACGTAAAGATGGAACATTTAAAAAGAATACCTTAATAGCATCACAAACAGCATTGTGTTCTTTAATGAATAGAGCCTGCAATACAGAGACGCCATCCCAGCTATTTCGAATATCTCCGGATATGGGGATCCTATCTTCATCGTGTTGGAGTAAGCCATCTTCTGAAATCTTTAACTTCCCATCTGTGAATGTTCTCACCTTTTGTAATCTTTCCTTGTTGCTTCCATATATTGCACTTCCATCCCTACAAAAATCACCCTTTCATTATGAAAATCATGCATGCATAATAATTATTACCGCCAAGGATATCGAAAATTGTCTTACCACCAAGGATATCGAAAATTGTCTTACCACCAAGGTGTACGGATGTTCTTGGTGCCGGTTTGGATATCGTAGAAACCAGTCGGAAACTCCTTTGTCGGATAAAACTTAAAGGAACTGAGAGGACATTTGTTTGCTACTTCTTTAGGTGCAATCAACTCAACCTGCAACTTTGTCCAAAAAACAATGTTAATTAATTATATATATATTCACGTTCAAATCCAATTAGCAGTATATATAATTATGGTTGAACCTGCTGGTTGGTGTTCTCCATGTGATCGATCCAATCGTGGATCATAAACTGGATCCAAGAAGCTGCAATCATGTTGAATTGCTTGTCCGTATCTTTGTATTGTGTTCGTGCCAATAGTTTTGTAGCCACAACCATTGGATCTGGCTTCATCAACTATAACATAATATTGTTTTAATTTTCACACCGTGTAATTCACGTACCAAGTCATTGATAGTTAATTTTAACGAAATTACTCACACGATAGTTAAATGAATTTGTATAAATAACATATTTAGTCTTTATTACTATTTTAATTAAATGAGTTGAAATAGTTCCATTTTTATCAGTTGTGAGCCTAAAGTTGATGTGTATACCTTATCTGTTTGATCCACAGGCATAATGTTCCTGCCAAAGAAACTTCCTTGGCTGCCAGCTCCCTCATTGAAGGGATCATGGTAACTTCCATCACTTGTTCTGTAGGGATAATCCTCTGGATTAAATCGAACTCCGCACGGTGATTTTCCGACATTGATCAGATTGTACTGCTGGTGAAGATGTCGACGAACAGACAAATATAATAACCCTAAGAAAACTGGTAACTTTGGCCATATTCTCAGTTTATCCACTGAATGCACAATCTGATTAACAAAAAATGTATAAAAACTAAATATGTGTAGATCATAATTTAAACAAAGTATATCAGAGAAATAACAAGGGATGAATTATAATATATTTACGAGAAAGAGAAAAGCATCAATTATCGTCATGGAGGAAACAACTTCGTGAAAATCTTTACAGATGAAACGATGTAATATGTTATTGAAAAGTATTTTTGTAAATGCCATTGTTTTTTTGGAGAGAACCTAGGTTGCTTTTTGTTTGTGTGTGGGAAAGATATTTGTTGTAAGAACTATAGTAATGCATAATGTCTATATTTATAGATGAATTTGAGCACCTCCACGTGATAAGCATTGAATAATTATAGAGTAAACTACACATTAGTACTTAAACTATTACTATTGTTCCGTTTTGGTAACTAAACTTTATTTTCTTTAACTAAATTTAATGTTTAGTTTAAGTTTCATTTTGGTATCATGTCGCTAAAAACTTAAAAGAACTATTAAGTGTGGCTTTTTAATGGGTAAATTATATCATTCATCACTTAACTATCTTCTCAATCCTCTTTTGGTCACAAATGTTTAAAATTTTATTACTCAACTTTCTAATATTTTCTGTGACGTGAAATTTTTATTATTTTATTAATTTATAATTAAAATAAAAAATAAATTAACAATTATACCCAAACCCAAAAATCATACCACAAACCCTAAATCATAAATCCTTCATATATAAATAAAATCCGTTAGAATGATTAAAATAAGAGTAACCTGAAAGTTCAATGATTAAATTAAAAAAAATAAACTTTAATGACCAAAATAAAAGGGAGAAGATAATTGGGTGATGAATGGTGTAATTTACCCGTAAAAATGCTATGTACAACATTGCTGTTAGATTTTTAACGGTGGGGTACCAAAATGAAACTTAAACTAAACGTTATGCATAATTTTGAAAAAATATAAAGTTTAAGTACTAAAATGGAATAAAAGTAATAATTTAATACTAAACATGTAGTTTACCCATAATTATGTGAAGACGAGTTTTCTTGTCAAGTCAGTGCAAAAAATTATATGGAAATGAAACTTATTAATTTAGCAAATTGTAAAAAGAAACAATTCAAAAATAAAATTCAAAATAGTACATTTGTTTGTAACTATCATATTTTGGTTTATATTGAAATCACACGTTTCCTTTGTTACCTTTCCTCTGGAAAAATGAAAAATAATTAACGCATGAGCCATTCATTGTCGAGTCGCAGTCATAGTTACGATTAGGATTGTCATAGGAACCGAACTCGACGGATTTTGATTCGAGTTTTTTATAATAAAAAGTTTCGGTTAGATTGAGTTTTTTTAAAGATGATGTTTGGATAGTATTAGATTCGGGTTTAGAGTAAAAAATATCTCTTAATATAAAATTTTGTGCCAATATTTACATATAAGTATGAATTTGTACAAATATATATATATATATATATTCTCAATAACGTATACTCTAGAACTGTTTAAGACTTCGATTAGAAAATCAGAAAATATTAATAAAGTAGGCCTATGAACATTTCTATATTAAGTATTTTTATTTTTTTTAAATTATTTTTAATTCGATTTTTATATACTTCTAGGAGTATTTTCTTTTCAATTTTGAACTTCAAATGTATTGTTAAAATGATTTTTTTATTTTTAATAGATATATGTGTATGTTAAAAGTTACAATTTAGTATTTTTATTTTTTTAAATTATTTTTAATTCGATTTTTATATACTTCTAGGAGTATTTTCTTTTCAATTTTGAACTTCAAATGTATTGTTAAAATGATTATTTTATTTTTAATAGATATATGTGTGTGTTAAAAGTTACAATTTAATAAATATAATATTATACTTGTAAGAAAATATATAAAATTCAACTTATTGCTATGATAAGCATATTATTGCGCCTAAAATTGGATTAAAATATTTATTTTTTGATATAAATAAATTATATATTATTTTTAGTGGCATATTATAACTATTGAATCTGTACCATATAAATTATTTTATACATATTAAAAATTAAATATTGTAGAACACATTAAGTGATCTCAGAATATTGTTTTCTATTGATGTCTCCAGTTTAAACAGTTGTATGAACAATTACGTCTGCAAGTGTGTTTCCATTCATTGTCAAATTAACTAAGAAAACTATGTAGATATATTACATTGTAATCACCCAACCTTGTAAAAAAAATTAAGTATTGTCCCGAAAATTATAAAATTTTAATTTTAAAAATATAGTTACAATTAACTAAAAATTAATTATAAAATAATTTCATAAATTAAAAAATCAAAAAATATAATTTCAAAATATATTTTTATAAGTATAAAAATAAATTGTGACTTTCCATATAGTTTTTATAAAATGATTTTTTTTTTTTGAAATTATTGCTTAAAATATTAAAACAAATATTAAAATGAGATGTTTTTCGTTAATTTAATATTTCAGGTCACCCCTCTTAATGATGGGTAGTGCCGTGCCGTCTTTTCCAGCTTAACAATTAGGCGAAGGTGCATTAAATTGATTGCTTTTGTCACCTAAATATGCATTCATTGCTAAACCTTGAAAAATTTTAGAAACATTTAAGTAAGCGAAGTCTCATCTAATTAGGTCCGAGCTGTTCATTGGTTATGTTTAATCGTATACGTTATCCACAACATGATTTTCAGAACTGGACCGGTTAACGAATCGATCATGTTATCGGTTCACTGGTTAAATCGAACAACGTCATAATTATTTAAAAAATTAAATAAAAATACCAAAAATATTTAATAAAAAATAATTTTGTATATCACAAGTCATATTCAAAGCAAGTCATAACATATATAAGTTAAAAACCATAAAATCAAGTGAAACAAAATGATTCAAATTAACTACAACATAATATTTAAGGTAAAACATATTAAATAAGAAATATAATTATATAACTATAATTAAAAAATAAATTTGGGGCTAAAAAATCATAACAAAATGATATTATTTGGTTTAATTTTTAAAAAAAAACAATCTCACATAGCTAAGAAACATAGAAGAACATCCAAAAGTCTAAAGAGTAAAAATATGAAAACAAAACAATCCCACATTGCTAAGAAACATAGAAGAGCATCCCAACTAACTTCTATAAATAATAGAGGTAATTTGGCATTCAAAATCATGGAGTCTTTTGGTGAGCATAGAGTGAACTATTCTTTCACTTCAATCAAGCTTGAATTTTAGGCTTTAATCGAGTTTCTAAATTTTTTTTAGTTCAAGCCTTTTCGAGTTCAAGTTTCAATATTATATTTCGAGTTCGAGTTGAACTTGATAATTTTTAGTTTGTGAGTTTGAGTCGAGTTGAGCTCAGCAATACTCGAGTTCGACTTGGCTCGTTTAACAAACGACGTTGTTTGGTTTATTTTTTTTAAAAAAAAAAACAAAATTTCTGGTTTTCCCCCTTTTTTTCGATTTTCATCCGGTCCGGTTTGAATGGTTCAGCGATTCCGATCGGTTCACTAGTAACAGTTCAACCGGTGTAGTTTAAACTGGACTAGACAACGGTTTATGGTTGAACAAGTTAAACCGATCGATCCGATCTAGTTTTCAAAACACTGATCCACAAAATGACACCACCATAATTAACAATTTTGTTTTTCCAAACCTTTCGCCGTGGCTACAATTTTTCTTTGGTCCTCAACTTTATCAACTTAATTATTTTAACCTTTAAAATTTTGGGTAAAGTACACAAATGGTCCCCTGGCTATAGGTCACTACTTTTTAGTCTCTCAACTTTTAAAAATTACAAAATGGTTCCTAAACTAAATGATGTTACTTTATTGAGTCCCTCGACTATTAAAAGTTACAAAATAGTCAACTGACTATTCATATGTTCCAAACTCGTCCTTTTATGTTAAAAATTGATAGATGTCTGAGTTTGACGTTAATATACTGACTGTGATATGATAAAATCATATTTTAATGATGTCAACTAGAACCGTTGTTGCTTTCAAACATTGACTCAATGACATAATGTTTCAAGCACTCACTCGACGACATAATATAAACAAAGACTTTATCCACAAAATACAACACAAACAACTATGATATCATATTTTTATCATACCCTAGTGAGCATGTAAACGTCTAGCTCAAACGACTACTATTTTTTAACAGAAAACGATGAGTTTGGAACATATGAATAATCGAGTAACTATTTTGTAATTTTTAATATTCGGAGGACTATACAAAACAACACCTCAAATGAGTTTATTTATTAAGTGAACATACTTCTGTTCGTGTGCGTTCGGTTCGTTTACAGGCCTAGTTCCTTTAAACTATGTTAGCTATTTTGTCATTTTTACATTGTCATAAAAAATTTAAAACAAAAAAAAAAGAAGCAATTTTGTCGTTATTAAAATATTAACATCGATTATCTTTTTACAGTTATATATATATTTTTTCATGATGGTATTATTGTTTCTTCACGTTTGGATCAATTTGATAAAAACAAAAGCTCAAAAGTCAAAAGAGATATAATAAAAGTATAAGGGTTAAAATGATTATATTAGTATAGTTGGAAGGCCAAAAAAGTTATTCTACCTTTTTCTTTTGAATTATTATATTTTTCTACATATTTTAGTATATTAATAATATTTATTAATTTTTATGCAAATATGTATTATTTAAATTTAAACAATGTTATATGAGCCACCAAATCTCAGTGGTAAAAAATTTGTTGTTATTCCTTGAAGTTTCAGGTTCGATAACCATAAATGTCATGCGAGCATTTAATGTCAAATGGTTAACAATATTCTTAGAACAAATATTATATTGTACTTATCCCAAATTAATCACAAAAATTAAAAAAAAAAACACACAGACACACACATATATATATATTTGTATTATTATTTTTTAATTAATCTAGGATGATTACAAGTAGGGGTGTAAACGAGCCGAGTCGAACTCGAGTATTGCTGAGCTCGACTCGACTCAAAAACTTGCGAGTTTAAAATTTTTAAGCTCGACTCGATCTCGAAATCATGAACTGAAGCTCGTGAGTAGCTCTAAAAGGCTCGAAATGAAAAAAAAATCTTAAACTTAACTAGATTAAATCCTCAAACTCAAACTCGAACATGAAATACATAAAAGTCTTATTGTATTTTTAAAAAAAACAACACATGAATGTTAATATTATTAATAATTTATTTTAAAAAAATAATATCTTAATATATTATATTTTCGAGCTGCTCACGAGCTTTT